ATCCTTTCAGCCATGCCATTTTGTTGAGGGGTATGAATAACAGTTCTATGTCTCACAATGCCATGGTCTTTACAAAAATCATTGAATTCATTATTGCAGAATTCCAAGCCATTATCAGTTCTCAAGATTTTTATTTTCAAATCAGTTTGATTTTCAACTTCAATTTTCCATTCTTTGAAAACAGAAAAGGTCTCATCCTTGGATTTCAGTAAATGCACCCAAATTTTTCTTGAGAAATCATCAATAATCAGCAAGCAATATCTAAAACCAGATAGAGTAGACACAGAAGCAGGACCCCACAAATCAGCATGCAAATATTCAAGTTTTTGTTTTGATTTGTGTGTGCCAGTAGGAAAAGGAAGTTTCACTTGTTTACCTATTATACATTGTTCACAAGAACCAAAATCACATATGTTTAATTTTCCAAAGACACCTTTTGTTTTTAGAGAATTCAAACCCTTTTTATCAATGTTACCAAGTCTCTCATGCCAAAGTTTTAACAAGGTAAAATTTTCAGAAATAGCAGAAGCAGTCAAGCCCAACAAAGGTACAGCTTTCAAATAATATAAACAATGTCTCTTAGGGGATGATATGACCAAGTCACTTCCCTTAAGAATATTAATGTATCATTTCTCCATATTAATGTTGAACTACATGTCATCTAACATGCCTAAGGACACTAAGTTCCTTTTTAAATCTGGGACAAATCTAGTTTTTTTTAGAATCAAAGTACTCCCATTTTCTAAAAGCAGTTTAACAGTACCAATACCACTTATCTTGTAGGCATAGTTATTTCCCATTCTAACTTGCCCGCCTTTGGTTTTAGAAAAGTCAATGAAGCAGTTTTTGTTAGGGTACATATGGAAAGAACAACCCGAGTCAAGTATCCATTCATCACTCAGTTTCTTTCCCATACTTGCAAGAACTAGACCATTCTCAGTTTTGGTTTTATTAAGAGCAAGAACAGCATTTCCTTCTTCCAAAACTCTCTCTAGATTCATTTTTTTTTAAAACAATCTTTAGCAAAATGATGAAGCTTACCACAGTAGTAACATTTTTTACCCTTGGAGTTATACTTGGTCTTATTCCTTTCAGTCCATTTTTTGTTGTGCCTTATTTTTCAAAGCATTGATTATAATATCAGTACTTAGATCATCTCTACCATATTCTAAGGCAACCTTAATATCCTTATACATGTCACTTATGGAGTTCAATAAGACTACAGTCAATTGATCTTTTGAAAGTTTTCATCACAATTGGCCAAGTCTTGGATAAGTTTAGTAAATCTGTTCAAGTTTTCATCCAAATCGACTGCAGGATCCATTTTAAAAGAAAAGAATTGTTTTAAAAGATTGGTCACATATTTTGTATGAAGTTTTGTCCACAATTCTGCAGCAGTTTTAGTTTCACCAATACATCTTATCACATTTTCAGATAAGTATAAGAAGATAGTACTCCAAGCAACTTCATCAAGTTCAGACTTTTTGGCAGTAAGTAAATCAGCAGGCCAACTATCATCCAAAGTTTTAACACATTTCATTTGCATTAAAATAGCCTTCATTTTCTGACTCCACATGCTAAAATCAATTTTTCCATCAAACTGACTAACTTCAAATTTTGCAGAGGCCATGTTAAAACAATACAAACACACATGCTAATAGCAATAAACACAGTATGCAAAAAACATAGCAGGAGCACAGAATAATCACAATAATACACAAAGTATAATAAGATTTCAAATAACAGATATCAGTAAACAGCAAGCAGACCAAGATTCAAAAGAAAACACAATAACAGAGATCACAGACAATGTTTCTCAAATCAGTCCAGCAAGATTTTCCAAGCACACACCCAAACTTGATTTATCTCAGATTCCCGGAGCCTCGCAGGAGCTCATGGACAAAAATTAGTCTCAAGGGGGTTTCAACGGTGTTTGGAAAATCAGGGGTACGATCAAGAAACCCTCAATTTAAAAGTAAACTTTTAAACAATTAAAAAGATCTCACCAAACGAGTCTAAAACTCGATTTCTTTTGGTTCTACTCAAGAGCAGACTCAAACCCTTTAGGATCTGAAGCAGTTCTGCCTCCTCCTCATAAGATCCAGGTAACTTGTTTCACCAGTCCAAGCTCTGATACTACCGGTAAGGCCCAGACCTCAACACGATATAAGTATTCGAAACAAACAATAACCTCAATAGTAAGGTAAAACTGCAGAAAATTAAAGAATGAACACAAGATTTGTTTTGACCATAGCCCCGGAGGTTCGATGATCGCTTCAAACATCTACATCCCCCGTTGAGCATTCGAAAACAGGAATATGCTCAGATGCACTAAATCAGCTACAAAATGGCAACAAAAAGTTACAGAGAGTTCAAGAAAGAGATATGATACTTATCTCTCAAATTACATCAACATGATAGCCCACGATTTACTCAGAAATCACCAAGAACCCCTTCGAACATACACAAAGTATTACAGCAGAGGAATCAAATACAACCTCTCAATATTCACATAGAATATTACAATCGAAGGTAGATCTAGCTATTACAATATTCTAAATCAAAGATTTAGAGTGAAAACATGCATCAAGAATCAAACTCTATCTCTTCCTCACATTTTTTCTCAGATAGAAGAAAACCCTAGAAGTCTCTCGAAAATCAATTGATTGAATGCCAAAAATATCTCAAGCCTCAGTATATCAACAGCTACAGCATCCAACGACCACGAGTGAGCCAAATGTCATCCATCCAGGTAAAGTTGCTTCTCATTTAAGAGAAGCGTGTTTTATAAACACGTTAACATCCAAAATGCTGGGAGCAGAATAAATGGGTTAGGATCCAACCCAACAATATCTTCGTTTATTCAATAGATATATAGCTTCATTGGTATCTTATTATCTTCATTTACTTATTTTTTTAAATTTCTTCTTCTTCTTCTTCCTACTATTTGAACTCGTTGACTCTTTCATCTTGAATCTCGTTGACTGCATTTTTATTTGCAGCTCAACATTAATTGATTTACTTTTTGTTCATACCATGATTTAATTAAATGGACAGTTATATAAAAAATGGAGACAAAGGAAATCAATTAGGAAATTGGAGAAGAACTTGTAGTTTTGTTAAAGTTATAGAGACAGAAAAAAATAGTTTGATTTTTTGACCAAGCGTTGGCTCAACTTGACTCGGGCCAAAAAAGCACCAGCCGTTTTTTGTTCGTGCCGCACCTGAGCTACAATTTTTGACTCGCTGGCCGGCTCAGCCCGACTAATTTACATCTCTATTTTGCCCAAATGGGATGAAGAAAAGTACAAATATGAAAATTCAAACAATAGGGTATAAATGCAATTTTCCACAAAGAAAAGGTGTACAGGTGTAAATTGACAAAATAAAAATTAAAAACCATTTACGGGCCTGAAATAAACCCACATAAATTATAAGGTCCAAAACCCCTGACCAACAAAATCAACCCCCAACTCCCCTCACCTCCCCTCCCCTCCCCTCTCGACTTTTGCACCTCTGTTTTTCTTTCACTCGTCGTTTCAAGGTGTTTAATTCTTTCTAATTTTCGTTTTTATTCCATTATTTCTTTCATTTCGAAACTACAGTTATTACATCTTTAGAAAAAAAGAATTCTTTAATGTAATATGTTGTTTGATGATTAGTTAATAGGTGAGATGAAACTCATTCGAAGTGTACTGTTGTCTGCAAATAACGGTTTGTCTCGCCAATTTCAAAGGTCTCAAGCAGTTCGGGCTTTTTCTGCCAGCCCATTTTCAGGTAATTATTTCTTTCATTCGTGCTTTTTTCATTTCATTTTATTTTATTTAATTGGTGACGTTATTTCGCGAATATGAAGTTGATTTAATGGTTTTCTCCATTCTCAATAAATTCGTGTTTATTTACTCAATTAAATCCACATAAACCATTTTTGGGTTTTGGTGAAGTAGAAAGTTACTGTGAATGATCAATTAATATGTTGCTCAAAATGGTTTACAAAGGTTTTGGTTGGTGCAAGGAACTTGTGTTCCTGTTTTTGGAACAAGATTTGAGGAAATCTTAGTGAGGTTTGACACGGAAAGGGAGACTTTGAAGTAAATGTTTAAAGATTGTTATATTTGTTTTAGGTCTCATTTATTTTCACCATAGATTGTACAGAAAGATATGTGAAATCTTTATTGTAATTTACATCTGAAAATGTTGGTTCTGAGGCAGTCTGGTCTTGCATTTATACAGGTACTGATGATAAGCAGAATTCTAACTCAAATGAGTCTTCTGAAGAATTCGAGCACCGGATTTTTGGTGATGCTTCCAGAAGAGGTCCAAGTTTGAGTTCCTTTTATCAAAAGCTTGATAAAGCTGAGAAGGCGCATGACCTATCCGGTTTCGGATCTAAATTCAATCTTGGAAACAGATCTAATTTCTTGGATGGTCTAGATGAGAGTTTCAATACATTGTCTGATGGAATGGATGAAAAATTGAAGAAAGCAGCCACGTACTTCGATTTTGATCCTGATGAAATAAGTAAAGAAGATTATGCTTACAGACCAGATATGAATTTCTGGACTGGGAACACTTATGATGTCAAGGTATGAACCTTGAAGTGGGATTTGTATTATCTATCCTTGAGTTCTAATTCAAAGAAGCTACTAAGAATTTGAGGGGACTGGTAAAGTATCAATTTGATTTTTCTACATACATTATATAGGCAGAAAATGTTGTTTTAAAACTCTTTGGGGAACCTTATTTTCTATATCCCAGGGTTGAGGCATTTTAGTGGACTCACTATAATGAATCATTGTTTGCCAATTACATGCATCATATAGTTGTTGTTGTTTTTTTTGCTGATAATTAAGCTTCTTGAAGTTTAAGAAATTCATATTTTATGGCCTTAACAAAATGTTGTTTTCTATATGATAACTCCAATTTGAAGGGAAAAATTCACTGTACTGTTGGCAGAGTCTAACCCATTTTCTGTCGACTATGTCAAGTGTTACTGACTGAACATTGTGTAACTACTACAGATGTTTGTCCTGTCCTAATGTGTTTTTTCTCTTACACTAACATTTTTTAACTTCTGATTTTGAGTTGAGTTCAACATCTTCTTAGGCAACAGACAATCAGGCTAATGTTGGTTAACCTAATATGATTCAGCCTCTTGATATGATTTTGTTTCTTAACGACTTAACCTATTGTGTTATATCATTTAGTGATCTCATTTTTACCTCTATGCTTTCCATTCATCTATTCAGGATCTTGACATGAGGAAGCCTGGAATTCGCAAGCCCTACAAAAGGAATGAGTTTGAAACAACATCAGAGGAAGTTTTACGTAAAGCTGATTTCAGGGTGTGGAATTTTGAATGTTGCCCATTAGTCTAATTTTTGTTGGGAATTTGTATTTCCGTATGTGTGTAACAATTGCCTCTAGATTGATGGCTGGTCCGACATTTGTGCTTTGTCAGTTTTTCTTTTTTGTTTTGTGCGGTTGGGGTGGTGTCTTCTAAGAAACTTCTGTTTATAAGAGTGACGTGTTTTTCAGAAGAGGGAGGGATAAATAAAAAATAACATGGCGTGTGATAGTTGCTTTAAATCTTGGAGCATGCTTGGGAGTTCTTAAAAGCTCCTTATACCCCCCCCCCCCCACCCCGCCCCCCACGACCAATCATGCTCTTAGTGTAATTTAACAATGTGCTAAACGGAGTAGTGGACAAAGATTTAAGTACCAACTCCAAATTTATTGAGGAAAGAACTTTGTTTTTGTTGGGGGAGGTGGAGTGGAGTTTCAAGTTTAAGAAATGATGTTGAGGAAGACAGATACTTCTAAGATTCTGAATGATAATTTACATATTTAATCCTATGTATCTCGCCGATAAAGATTGTTGCTGCATTTGATTTTTGCTTCAATATGTTGCATTTGTTCATTATTGGTTGTGATTTAACTAACACACGATACTTAGTCTCAATACTCTTGAATTCATAAAAGATTGCTGATGTATTGAAATAGTGCCACTAAGGGATTGGAAGTTGCAATCATTTACTTACCGGTTTATTGTTGTCATCTTAGTCAGGATCTATATAGTTTTTGGTGCATGTGTTTATTTGGAACGATATTGAAAGTTTTTTACTGTGTTAAAGATGCTTATAGTTTTGATTACTCATATTCAAATTGAAATCGCCTACAGCCTAATTTAGTGGCCGAGATCCGTGGGTGGACTGTCTAATTTTTTCAAATAAATCCTGTTCTTGTCTGACCATGGCCATTTACATTTCTTTCCACCTCTCAAATTTTCCAATGCGGTAATATGTTACTTTGTCTTTGGTTCCATAGACATTCCATTCTAACCCAAGTTTTCTTACATGGTATATGTTACTTTTGTCTTTGATTCCGTTTTAAATTGATCGACGAGCACTCGAAAAGTTTCTTCTTCACAGCTAATAAAGTTGATCGTGAAGTTATGATTTCACTTTTGTTATAAAGTTTCTTGGATTTCAGTTGTGGCTTAAAACCGTACATATGTAGCTTTTGAATCTTTACCTCGTGTTATTATCTGGGTGAAGTTTAATGCCACGACCTTTTGACAAGATGCCTAATTTTTGCCGATTATTTATGTTCTCTAACATAAAAATCTGCTTTTGCGTAACTGACTCTGCAAAGTTCCTGGTCAGAATGTCAGATTTCTTGCAAACTTCATCACCGAGGCTGGCATCATCATCAAAAGGAGCAAGGTAAAATAACTCAGTTAACCTAAAGAATTTACTTATAAGTGGAATAGAACTGATTCTTTTTGTAATCTTTTTTTCCCTTGTGAAAGACCGGAATCAGTGCTAAGGCCCAGAGGAAGGTTGCTCGTGAGATCAAGACTGCTCGTGCTTTTGGTTTAATGCCTTTCACCACAATGGGAACGAAACAATTCACATATGGCAAAACAATGGAGGATCTAGATGAAGATTATTCGTATGAGACTTATGATCACGATTTTGTTGATGATGTGGTGGAGACCTGAACATCCTGTTTGTTTTGATTATCACTCTCTACCAAGAAAAAAACTGCAATTTTTTGGCAAGTAGGAGTAATATCCAACTATGTTGCTTCTCGTACTCGTGGGACTCTGTAATTCTCAAGGATATTCACCTTGGATAGTGACTTTTGTCCTCATTTTCTGTAACCTTGTTATGTTGGAATATTCATCTATTGTTATTGGAACTTGGAGTTGTACCCTTTAGCATGTGATAGCCTGAAATTTTTGAATTTGTTGAACCCTTTTGATCTCCTACTGGCACTTGGGCGTTCTTCCCTCTTTCTTTGTCAATTTTTTTGAATTTTCATTAGGAGTAAATAATATCTCATTTATGTGAAATGGAGAAAATGAATCTGTGTTTGATTTCAGCGTTTTGGCTGGCATGTTATGGCTAGCAATTTAGAGAAGCGAGAGTGCTGGTTCAAATTGTCAATTAAACCCCTGTTTCAATTTTATTAAAATTTTCATTCTCATTCTTTTACTCATTTTCAACTACACATGCTTCAATAAAATAATATTTTTCATCACATCAATAATTTTTTCTTCTTTTTCAACCACACATACTCCATCAATCTACTATTCCAAAATACGTTCTTCCAAAATAATGTGGCTCAAACACACCTTAATGCTCAATTTCTCAGAGAAAGGGTATAAGATGTTTCAAAATCGTGTGCTCGAGTTAGGGACCAAATGGTTGTTCTTAGAACCAAGATTTTCGTACATCAATTTTCCCGCCATCTAACCATTAAAATCGCCGTTTGTAAATATCACCACCACCACGACGTCCGCCACCAAACCCTCATAGATCAACTTTTGTTCCTCCTGAGAAAATGCAAATCCACCCAAACAGTCCAACAAATACATGCCCAAATGCTCATTCACTCCATTCACAAACCCAATTTCTTGCTTTCTAAACTCATTCTCCTGAAAGACTTTGAGTACTCTACTCTTTTCTTCTCTCAAATACCTAACGTCAATGACTACGCTTTCAATATCATGATCAGGGGCCTCACCACCACATGGCAAAAATTCAATCTTGCATTGGAATATTATGGTAAGATGAAATTTTTAGGTATAAAACCAGACAATTTCACGTACCCTTTTGTGTTCATATCTTGCGGGAATCTAACGGCCTTGAAAATGGGTAGATTGGCGCATTCCGAGGTAGTGAGAAATGGGCTGTGCGCAGATTTTCATGTGGTACACTCACTGATCACCATGTATTCACGGTGTGCTCAGGTAGGTTTTGCACGCAAACTGTTCGATGAAATGGATGACAGGGATTTGGTGTCGTGGAACTCGATGATATCAGGCTATTCTAGGATGGGGTTTGCTAAAGAGGCAGTGGAATTGTTTGAGGAGATGAGGGAGAAAGGTTTGGAGCCCGGTGAAATGTCGCTGGTGAGCGTGCTTGGGGCATGTGGGGACTTGGGGGATTTGAAATTGGGAAGGTGGATTGAAAAGTATGTCATGGAGAAGGGGATGGAATTGAACACTTTTATTGGATCTGCTTTGATTAATATGTATGGAAAGTGTGGGGACTTCTTTGCAGCTCGGAGGGTGTTTGATGGCGTGAGAAAGAAAGATGTAATCACCTGGAATGCCATGATTACTGGGTTAGTATTTTTCTTCATATTCTTACTTCCTGTTCTTATTTGTCACTATTTTCATTTGCATTTACTTCAAGTTTGAAACAACGAGGTTTGCTTTTTTCTTGTATTTTTCCTTTTCCACGTGTAGTAACTTTCATATAAAACAGATATGCACAAAATGGATTATCAGATGAAGCAATTTCATTATTCAATGCCATGGAGGAGGGAGGGACTAGCCCTAATGAAGTCACGTTGATTGAAGTTCTCTCCGCATGTGCATCAATTGGTGCTCTGGATTTTGGAAAATGGATTGATGAATACGCATCAAAAAGAGGTTTTCAGAATGATGTTTATGTTGCTACTGCGTTAGTTGACATGTATGCGAAGTGCGGGAATTTGGACCGTGCACTTCATGTTTTTGAGAATATGCCTCGAAAAAATGAGGTATCCTGGAATGCAATGATCTCTGCACTTGGTTTTCATGGGCGAGCCCAAGAAGCCCTATCACTGTTTCAGCGCATGTCGCAAGAGGGGGGCGCTGCTCGCCCAAATGATATCACATTTGTCGCACTACTGTCTGCATGTGTTCATGTTGGATTGGTAGATAAAGGTCATCGATTGTTTGATATGATGACCTCATCTTTTGGACTGGTTCCGAAAATTGAGCATTATTCTTGCATGGTGGATCTTTTGTCTCGTGCTGGACGGGTGTACGAGGCATGGGACTTCATCCAAAAGATGCCAGAAAAACCAGATGGGATTTTATTAGGTGCATTGCTTGGTGCATGTCATAAACTCAAGAATGTAGATGTTGGCGAGCGGGTCATGGAGCTTCTCCTAGAGATCGAGCCTTCAAACTCTGGTAACTACGTGATATCATCAAAGATATACGCAAACATGAGAAGGTGGGATGATTCCGCTAAAATGAGGGTTTTAATGAGACAGAAGGGAGTTGCCAAAACTCCAGGGTGTAGTTGGATTGATCTAGATGGCCAACTCCGTGAATTTCATGCCGGTGACTTAGTATTTGAAGATGCAAAAGATATTTATCAAGTTCTTGACATCCTCTATGACGACATGACAATGGAAGTTTACGTTGTAGACATTGATCTCCTATAGAAATGTATGGTTTCTTGCATTTGATCAAATTTATCAACAACCAACATGCTTCTTCTTTATTACTTCAGTAAGATTAATTACATCACACTGACCACTATTAAGAAGGATCTCTATTCTCTACTTACAATGTCTCAAACAGCCACCCGTACAGATTATGTTGAACCAATTTCTATTGGCTAACGAAGTTTGTAAGGTTAGCAAAGATTTTATGTTTACTCTTTGCTATTTTATTCCTCGAGAAGCCTTGTTCTATTGTTGTTTTGTTTTGTTTTGTTTTTCTTATTATGCAGGTGGTTATGTCAAACAGGGAAATAGAACAAAGTGAGAGAGATCATTGAACCTGGTTTTAGATTACGAGGCACAAAATCAGAAACACACGAAGGGTAGACAATAAGGTCGAGGAGCAGGTGAACAGTATCATTACGCTTCACATGGTTCGACGTGTGATGAAGGTGAACATGCACGTAGATAACTGTGGCAATCTAACAATCTATTTACTGTCATTTGTATATTAAAAATCTCTTACAGAATTTGTACATGTGATTACATTTACTTGTACTATGTTCTACGTACTCTCTCAGAAATAGCACTCCTGTACAACAAGAGTTTCTCAACTCAATTCTCTTTGCATTTTCTCTATAACTGAAACATTCCTGTGAAGTTAAGTACTAAATACACAATCAATTACACATTTGGCAGTCCTAGTCTTCGTTTCACTTTCTTCTTTGTTCTTCCAGTTGCTCCAGGTATCACACAAGGTTGACCAAACTGTTGACCCTTTCATCCGTTAGGGGCGGTTTGATAGATATTATTGAGGAAAATATATATTTTACATAGTGATATGATGTGAAATATGTTGTTAAAAAGTAAGGAAAAGTTATTAATGTGATGAAAAATATTATTTTATTGAAAAATATGTGGTTGGAAATGAGATTTGAAAGAATATATTTTGAAAAAATGCGTCAAAAGTGTTTCTTTGAATTGGACTTATAACTCAAAATATGCAAAATAAAAATTTGCACGGCTTGCCCTCAACTTGTTGTCTTGATAGCAAGTTGGTCTTTTGTTCTGAAAACGAATAAGTTGTTCAGTTTTTTTTTTTTTTTTCCAAATAACAACGTATACGTTATCAATAATATAAGTATTAAGTGAAAGAGTACATATACTTCAAGAAGGGGCTATATCTTGATCTCTGGATAAAAAGAAAAATTACACCTTTCAAATACGGAAAGTACAAGAAGATTAAAAGACAGAGCAAAAATTATATCCATTTGACTTAATCCTATATCGGAATTCATTTATTCTTGCGATCTTCAATTCTTAGATATGGTTGCAAAATCAGTACAAAATGACAAAAACCATCAAAATTCGGTTAAATCAAAATTGGTCTTCATCGCCTTTGCTAGAAGCCATTTTGGTTTTTCCTCATGTGAACGTGTTGGGGAGTCCTCATGCCTCATTACCAAGTCTATCACATTAATTCGAGTTCACAACAGTGGTCAGTGGCCTTCAAGAAAAATAATTGATCTCACAATTACGTGTTGAACAATTTGAAGTGCATGTTTCCACAAGAGTTACATTATAATGAAATTAGAATGACATTGATTATGCCAATTACAATTGACAGTTGGAGTTTTGACCAACTACAATTAATCCAATTTTATACCTGTACTTTACTTTTTTGCCAAGGCGTTGGTGTGGACATGGAAGAGAAAGTTTAAAGATAAGAATAGCAAACTTGTTTGAGATCTCATTCCAAGATGCATCGTTTGGTATGTGTGGAGAGAACGAAATGGCAGATACTTTGAAGACCAAATACGGATAACAGAGCAATTTAGGGAATTGTTTTATTTGACTTTATATAGTTGATTTAATGCTATAACCACTAGTCTGATAGAAGGGTTGCCGAATTTTTTATCATTTCTATCTTGTTTAAACTGATAATGCACTCCTTGTGTATTATCGTTTGAGTTTTTTTATAAAATTACGTGATTACCTATCAAAAAAAAAAATAATTTGCTCCAGCATCAACTTTCCAGTTTCCATCAAGGCCACATAGAGCTTTATTGTTGATGACCAGGGCAAAGCCAGAAAATAGTAAAAAAAAAACACGCGCATGTGCGCAATAGCCATGTTTTCTGATATTAAAGTAGAACTTTTCCATTTTCAAACAGAAAACATAAGAAAACTTGAGTTGCTCCTTTTTTACTTTATTTAAGAGCATTCACCATACAGAAGAAAAAAAAAAAACCTAAGAACTAATGAAAATACAAGTAGTGAAACAAGAATCTGAAGCACACAAACCTGAATTGCACTTTGCATTGAGCTGAACTCTTGATATTCAACAAAACCAAAACAGAATCCTTGTTGCTGCAAATAGGTGAGATAAGGGGAATATATAAACATATGCTGCCAGGAAGAACAAAATACAGAAATAAGATGTCAGCAACCTTGTTACTTCTGACTTGGACCCCATTTTTCTTAATAGGTCCAAATTTCTTGAATTCTGACTCAAGCTGAGCAACTGTTATAGTTAGAGGCAAATTGCGGATATAAATGGAATGACCCTCAACTGCAAGATAATGAGCAATCGAAGTGACATCACATTTTTGGAATAAGAGCTTAAGAAAGGGAACACGCAAATATTTCTAACAATTGCTTCACACCTCAAATATTTCATTTTTCTTTCTAAGATTATTTTCTTCCCTTGTCAGAAATAAGCAAATATTTCTAACAATTGCTTCACACCTCAAATATTTCATTTTTCTTTCTAAGATTATTTTCTTCCCTCGTCAGAGATAGTATTACGATGCATGCTGCTTGCTCTTGTATACAGATAACTAAAAAAAACAAAGAGTAGCAAATTCCTTAATAAACGAAGATCAGAACTTAACAAGAGCCTTTCTGGTCAAACAATAGTAAAAACTAATACCTTCGTCCTCGGTATCATGGCTTTCCAGATCATTAACAGGTGCAGTTGAGTTTGATGGTTCAGGGCCTGAAGCAGGTGCAGCTGAACTAATTGATTGTTTTCCAGTTATTATAGGAGCCACTCTCAATGAATTAGCAGGTACATAAACTTTGTTTGACCCCTTCTTCAATTGTGAACTTAAAATTGAAGCATACGACTTCTTTGGAGCATCCTCCCGGGAGAAGGACGTAGCTGATTCTGCAACTGTGGATATGTGATTCTCGACTAAATGAGATTCACCTACCGTCGGAATATCAACATCATTACTAACTTGCATCTCATCATTCACTTGGTCATCAGCTTTCTCCTCAACAATTTCAACATCCTCTGTTTGAGAAGTTGACTGGTTCAGGTTGGGAGGATCCAACACCTGAGTGGGTTCTGAAACAAAATGAAAATGCTGATAAACTCCCAAAAAAAAAAAAGGTGATCTAAGACCAAGGCAAGAAAGCAGAATGATGTTTACTGAATTAGTGGTAAAGCAAACCTGGATCTGGAGTCAGGAAATTTGATTGTGGCGCGTTATCAACTCCAATAATTTCGCCTGCACCGGTGTCTGATCCAATCTCACCAACATACCTAAAGACATCATTCAAAACATAATATCCTTTGACTTGTGGAGCAAGGAAAAATGTTTGTGTGAATTTCTTTCTCAGATTGTCCTTTCCAGTCAAGCACCCAGTTACAAGCACAATGACTCCACCCTTGTAAGAATCCTGAGCATCAGCAGTCTTTATTTCTGCCTTGTAGTTCTTGTAGTCCAAGGAACATATCTTATCATTGATACCCTGGTCCAACATGAAATTAGCACGACGCTTATGTTAGTTATTGTTGCATTGTCATCTGGATCAAATGCAGTTGGTCAGTACTTGGTTAGAAAATACAAATGTTTAACTAAGCCCAGTAGTTCTAGACTTGATTCTTTGACAAAATCATGGGAAAGCTATAGAATCTGAATAAATCTTAATAGTTATAGTTAAGCGAGGATGACTAAGATGTGATACAAGAAACTGTATGATGGAGACACTGGTGTGTTATGTTCCTAGCAATGAGGAACGTCAGGGGAAATACAATCTTGCAAGAAAAATTTTCCGGAATGCCCTGTATCTCAATTCCTACTAAAAGTAATGGACTGTGTGGGAAACTTCCAGTAATTTATTTATTCATTCTCACTGCTACTCATTCTTTCAATTCCTAAGAAGAATCTCCAATCAAACAAGCAGTGAGGGAAAATTCTCTTTTCATTTTACTTACGTTTCATTCACTTTTCTGTTTCCTCCTGTAATATTCCTGTCATCCAAGTGAACGCAGTGGTATTCTTACTTTTGTAATATTCATTGTTTGAAGCATTCCAGTCATCAGGATGGACCCATCTCTACCCATGTTCAAACTCTAGATGACTTAAAGGGATAAACAATCAAGACAAATATTTTAGCAAATGAATTTTGCACGTGAATATCTCCATGCATTACGTATATCATAAGATGTGGGTCCTACTAAATGTGTAGATAATAAGTAGGTACTAGTTAAAAAATGTGTGCATAAAAAATATGTTCAACCAGAAATTAATCACTTCCCGAACATGCACGTATTCTCAGAAAACTTACTTTCATAGTAGTAACAGTCTTCATGACACCATCAGACTCTGGGCGACTTAATGCACTTGTGTCCAGGTAAAACTGATGAACCAACTCAGGGGCGTGATGAAGCACATGGTAGTACTGCTCAACAAAAGCATTTCCAACCACTTGGGCACTAAGAACTGAGGGGGTAGTGGTTTGTGAGGCCATTCCTATATAAAAAGCAAATAATCATATATGCCAAACTAAATCTTGTTAATTATTTCGCCACAGGGTACAGATGGAAAAAACAGAGAGAGGAGCCATAACAATATTCAACTTTTCTAAAGAATATGGGGCATAAACCCTAGAAACTATGCAGCATCATATGAGTTGAGCCGAACTGAACTAAAAGCACAAACGTCATACAATGTGCATCAGAATCCATTTAAGTTATTGATAAGTCACAACAAAAATGTGCAAATTTCTGTTTGAAATGTTAAATTTCCGTAGAGCCGTTCACCAGTGAAATTTGGGAAAAAGAATTTTGATACTATTTTAACACAAGTATGTGGAAATCTATGCAACTAAAAAGAATGGTACCCCGAGTTGCCAAGTAACAAAGCAGACTCTGAAACCACCACGAGCTCAAATATCAAACTAAGCATTATCAAGCAAAATCCACAATTTATGAGAATCCAAGAAGATCACAGCATGGAAGAAACGAATCAAATGAGAGACATTTATGACTACTTAAAAAGGTAATCCACAATTTCCCGGAAACCCTAGTTTTTTGGGTTCTGAATTATGCCATAAACCTCAAGACCTTTTTCCAAAATGCAAAAGGCTTTTAACTAGTAAAACTCAAAATATATATATATATATATAAAACCAAGAAAAAAATGATCATGGATCCGGTTTCTAGTAAACAAACCAACCGATCTAACAGTATTGAGAATCGAGAACAAAAGCCTGGAGGAAAAATAGGGGAAACTAAGATATCAATTACACACATTTGCAAATAAGTGAAAACTCTTTAGCAAAAAATTCACATTATCGTGGTTCTGAATGATCAGATCATAGATAAGTAACTAAAATGTGGACTTAAACATGATCTGATTTAAGTAGAAGAATTCTTTAAGCAACTAATTACCTGATCAGAAAGCTTAATTAGCGACTTAAACAGAGTGAGATGAAGTAACGATGTGATGAAGCAGTAATTGTACAGAGAGACGATCGCGGACAGAATTATAGTGAGAGAGTGTGAGAGATTTTGTGAACCAGGAAAGGACACACGGGGGCTGCGACTGATTGTTATCGAAAGACTCAAAGCTGCTTCGAGTAGGAGCTGTTTGTCTCGTGTTGATTCTACATACTTATAATCCAATCATTTTTTTTTTAATGATTTAAACAATTTATAAGCCCTTCTAAAATATCATTTTTCAATTTATTTTTTTTGCAAAATTACAATAATTTCTCTTTGGATTTGTTTATTACCTTAAATCCCTTCTTTTACAATTTTTATAAAAGCCCTTTGGTACTTAATATGAAAAATAAAAAATCCCGAGTTTCTTTTCTATGTCAAACCCACTATTATCCAAATAATCTTTAGCGCGACACACAATTGGCTGAAGATAATACGTTCTTACCTTACAAATTATCTTAGAATATCTGTATGAATAGCCTCCAAGATTTATTGATAAATCAAAACTTGTCTAGGTGTGTGATCCGAGCACTCTATCACCTTGAGCGAGCCCCGTGTAGTACACTGAACTGGAAAATTTATCATTGATGTTAGCTTTGTGAACTCCTATTCAAATGGTTCATCATTTATCCACAATGCTAATGGAATCCACAATGCTAATGGATGTAAATTCAAATACTCATATATACCTTAAGTATTTCACAAAGCTTCTGCAGCAGATATGTTACATGCCAAACTAGTTCAGATACAAGTATTTATTTCAATTAATCTCAATTTGGACTATGGAATATCCATATTCGATGCAATTGCATGTCATCGAATAATTGACATCATTATTCTCACTTGACAAGACGTCATATTTACATCTATTAAGCGCTTTCAATTTAGAGTAGTGCTAGACGTACAGAAAATCTTTGCCAGAAAGTTGCCACATGAGTTGGCAGCAACTATTCCTTTTCTAAAATGTCTATATTGCCCTTAATGAAATATTTTACAGGTTAAGTCTTGTATCTTTTATTTCTTCTTGACTTGTAATCAGAATTATTATCTTATACGATATTCATTATCTTTTATTTTTTATTTATAAAATTATGTGATTACCTATAAAAAAAAACTGTACTTTACTTTTGGATGGGTTGCGTGACAAAGCCTTAAATATATAATTTAACAGATTTTAATAAAAATTAATAAAATGCGTAATTAAAAATTAATAAAAGTTATGGTTTTCAATTTTTTTATCAAACCATTGTATATAACGAAAAGTAAACGAACACGTTGAGTCAACCAAGAGTCGTGGTTTTAATGAGAGGGGCATGCCAAGTCAATTGAAGGTCGTAGTTTTACACTATTGACAAAGAGAGGTGTTGGCCTATACAAATAGAATAAACCATTGACAAAAAATAAAAATAAAAATTATATGGGTCCTATTGCTTTGCTTCTTTATTACTTCTTGTACTATGTGTGTAGTAGTGCACGATACACATTTTCTTCTAGAGTTGCTTTGACCAATCAACGAAAACATTTATAAATGCTTAAGGCTCAATTTTGTGGAAATAATTCAATTGAAGATTCACACATTGTCTTCCTATAAGCATTCTCTCTCTCTCTTAATTTTTTTTCAGCCAACATTTATAACTTGACAAAGTGTAACTCTACATGTTGAGATATCAATCATCAATAGAATGTGCAGTTAAACTTTTAGTGGGTTAAATTTTTTATTAGTTATATCTCGATTTTTGTTTAGCATCAGTAAGAATAAACAACATTTTAAAGAAAATGATACAATAAGTTCTTGGAGCCGAGTACGTATTTACAACTTTCGCAAAATATGTTCAACCAACAATACATTTAGCAGTCTACTAAAATTGTAGAAGTAAATTCGATCCAAATTAATCAAAAAGAGTTTTGAGCGGATTTTGAATTCTAAGTTGTACTTCTCAGGTAACTTTGTGATTTGATGATTTCCATGTCAACAACAAGTCCTTTCGGATAGTGACAAAATCTATATACCATATTTCAAATAAAATTGAGAATCTGAAGGTAGATCATAAAGAAAGAAGGCCATTTGACACTCGCGATGATGAATAGTATGAAAAGGTTTTTTTTCTTTTCTTGTTGATTTTCGTAGAATCTTGCTATGGTGACCAAAGAAATAAATGTCAATAAATGATTGGACAGTTTGAAAAAAAAAAACACAACACTCAATCTCACCCTGTCACCTCACCTCCTATCATTGACCCTAACCAAGAGGCATTATTTTTTTTCGTATACGAAACCCAATTAGAGTCGAGATCAAAACTTCTACTCGTACCTATAGCAATAAGATTGATTTAAAACTTGAAAGACAATCTCGTTCCTTTGTATATTCATCTTAATAATTAGTTTTAAAATTCGATTGAAGAGAAGAAAAAGACGAATGCCATCGATATAAAATAATAAGTGAATTAACTAGTTCTTTTTTTTACTTGAGTTTTGCTATTTGTACCCCTCACAATATAGAGGGGGGCCCACGACCAATAAAAAAAATGGGGACCCCCCATTCTGAGGGGGTTGTACATATAGCAAGCCCCGTGTTTGGACTTCATTATTCCACATTTTAACGTGGGAAATAACAATTTTTTGAAAAAAATGTGTGATTAAAAAATAAGAAAAAGTTTTTAAAATTACGTGTAATATTATTTTAATGAAAAATATATTATTTATAAGAAAATAGAGAAAAATAAATTTTAATTTAATGTGGTCATAACCCTCGGGACTTTTTATCAAGACAAAAAAGTGACGCCAGATTCCATATTTAAACTCGGGCTAAAAAGCGTGATCCAGCTTAAGTATAGAAGCACGCTCATTTGTTTTTTCATCAAAAACTCAAGTCTTATATCTGTTTCCTTCATCGATCTCTGGTACTTTTATCGCCATTTTTGCACAATAATATGCATGATAATGCGTATGAGCGTACGAATAGTTACTTAATCTGTGCTCGAAATTTTTTTGTTGCTGTTCGATTTGATGTTAGTTAAGTAAATTCGTCAAGTGTTTAATCTTTGCTTAAGTGAGAATTTAATAAATGCGAAGCTGCATGAACGTTAACCTCCGGTTGTTTCAACTGTTTCTGTAAGCGAACATTTCTTTGTTATTATGTGATTAGATGTTAAGTAAATTCGTTAGTTGTTTTCTCTTTGTTTAAGTGTGAGTTAACGAATGTGAAGTTGCACGAGTTTTCTTCTCCGGTAGGTTCGACCGTTTCTGCTTTGAATTGAATTTTGTAAGTTTTGTTTTGTGTTATTTTCTGTAAAATTTTGATGATTGAAAAATTATTAATTGGTTTCTATCGTTAATTGTACTATTTTATTGTTGATTTTGCTTTGTAAAGGGAGTCGTACTCCGATGAGCAGTTGATTTGATGTGCCACTGATGTATATGTTTAGTTACTGTTACTTATTATGTGCTCTGGTGTTAGGTAAGAAAATTGCTGGCTGTTAATTTAACCTCTGGTATTTTAACTGTTTCTTTTCTGTCATTTTTCCTTCGTGAAGTGAAATGGTACGAAAATCAATTAATTTTTTTGATAAAATTTAAGCCTTTTGGAAAGAATCTATAAATGATTTAATTTATAAATAGATTAAATCGAGTGGTAAATAAATTGATAGTACTCATGGGTCTGATTGAAAATTCGTAAATTTTGCCAAACAGTTTGAACTGAAGCCAAAGAGAATCTATAGTTAATTTTCTGGCATTGTAACTAAACAGAATGCTACGGTCTTCACCTTTAAAGTTTAGGTGAATATACCATCCTCAGTCAAATTTTGACATATTTCTCAGATACTAGAACCTATATATCATTTTATTCTACAGAATTGATCCCAATTAACTCTGTTGTGTTTTCACTTAAAAGTCCAAAGTACCAAAGTAATGTAATTCGGTTTTTAATAGAAGGCGAGTTGCTGTTTTTTTCTACTTCCCTTCTTGAATGACTTAGACTTTCTCTAATCACTTGCTAATGTTAAATGAAAAACGTCATATTGTCCTCTGTTTTTTCACATAAGAGGTGAAATATGCTAAATACGTGCTACTTCTTTATAAACTGCTTATTTTTTTCATATCTATAATAATTCACTGTTATCTACTGACATTTTCATTTTTCTGCTGCCGACCAGTGCAAATTAGATGGAAAAGGTAAACAGTTACGGCTTTACTCTTGGTTTTGTCGGTAAACAAACACGAACTTTTCCTATGTGATGATGTTAAGTTTGGACAGTATGAAAAACTTGAGAAGATTGGCAAGGGAGCTTATGGAGTGGTGTACAAGTGCCGCAATTGCGATACCAATGAAATTGTTGCTCTGAAGAAAATGAAGATGGATAAACCAGACGAGGGAGTTCCTTACACAGCTGTCAGAGAGATTTCTCTCTTGAAAGAGATGCAGCATGAGAACATAGTAAGGTGCAACAATAGTCTCAACTACTATGGTTCTTAAATATTTTTACAGAGGGAGAGACGAGATATGAAGAGTCTGAGTGCTAAGCACAAGCTATTCAAAAATTGAAACGGATAGTTGTGCCATTTCAATTGATCTTGCTGCCTTTTTAATGCAGTAAAATCAACTTTTTGGAGTTTTTTTATGATATTGTTGGATCGAGATGGCCTTGTGAGAATGTTCTTGCTAAATTCGCAGGCTAGTAACTTCGAGTTTTTATAATGTTTGCAGTAAACTTTCTCAGTTATTTGGTGACAGGTTGCTGGATGTTGAGCACACTGAGAAGAGGTTGTATCTTGTATTTGAATATCTGGACTTGGATCTGGCGAAACACATGGAGTCTAGCCCAGAATTCTCGAAGGATCCTCGCCTCATTAAAGTGAGAGTCCTCTTTCTGTGCACTGGAGGTCTACAAAAATGATACTTCAAAATTAAGTTCGTTGTCTGTTGAGAATTATGGGTTGATAAATGTAATTTCTTGATCGTTTCAGTTAGAGGGTAACAACTCCGTTGTGTTTGAGCATAAAACTTCGTTCACTTTCTTTGTTTTACTGCTTTATTTGTTGATGTAATTGATGCGCCAAGAAGGCGAGCAGATGCAGTGGGGGTGGCTGGTGTATTTTGCATGTGTCATGTGAATGAGGGTTTAGAGATTAGTAAATCGAGTTGGTAATGCTGATTTATATCCTGAAGTTTCAAAGAAAAGAAATTCCTCAGATCTTGTGCTCCCAAATCAGTGTTGTAATTTTGTCACATTTTAAATTTTGCAGATGTTTCTGTATCAAATACTATGTGGTGTAGCATATTGTCATTCTCACAGAATCCTCCATCGAGATTTGAAGCCTCAGAACCTGCTGATTGATCTTCGTACTAATACATTAAAGCTTGCAGATTTTGGATTGGGCAGAGCATTATCCATTCCTCTTGGGACACTTACGCACCAGGTAAATGTTGTAGAACTTGGTACTGATTCCAACCTTTCATAGATACTGCTAATCACAGGTTAAAATTTAAATCATCTTGTCTCTATTTTTTCATTTTATGTACACAGGTTCCGATTTCATTCCGCAGGAAAAATCTGTACAATGAGAAACAATTTTAAGTAGCACTGTAGCAGTTTTTTTTTTTTTTTTAAAAACCCCTGGTATCATCTTAGTCTCTTGTCAAGTTTCTAGTGATCTAAATGGTCGCTTCTAATCATAAATCGCAGGCAAATAGATACCAAAAGTAGGTCATGTCCTTTGTATGTTATTAGAATCTTCATCTCCCAAATAATAGTTTCTAATGAACTCTTCACTTGATATCTACATTTTTCTTTTCCCTACATCTGATATTCTTTTGTAGACGGTAACTCTATGGTACAGGGCCCCAGAAATACTACTTGGATTACGGAAGTATTCTACTCCTGTTGATGTTTGGTCAGCCGGTTGTATATTTGCAGAGATGGTGAACCAGAAGCCCTTGTTTCCTGGGGATACTGACATTAAGCAAATCAGCATGATTTTCAGGTGCCACAGTTTTTCCAAGCAATGATGCACATATCTCTTCTTTTGAGATCATTTCTAGCAACTTCATAAGCTTATTATGACAATCGCTTTATCAACTCAGAATCTTGGTGGTGTTTTTAGTACAAACTACAAAAGTTACAAAAATGCATTCAGAACTGTTCTCTTGGCTGCATTAGATGACCCGACTTTGCCTGTGTTGTTATCTGATAAGTTACTATGCACTCATTGACAGTATTAGGGTGAGCAATTTAATTAGTATACATGTCTATCTCGCATCAAGCATGAATGGTTTCTTAAAATTTACTGGTTAATTGTTCACAATCAGTTAAAACATTCTCAAAAGATTTCAGCAAATTAATTGCAATCATCAAATGCATATTTAATATTTTAATTCATACTACTTATTATTCGTTTCATATTTCTTCCTTCGTACTGAAGTGTTATGGGAACGCCTAATGAAGATACATGGCCCGGAGTCACAGCTCTGACTGGTTTAATATATACATTTCCAAAATGGCTTCCTAAGGTTGTTGGCCTCGGCATCAATTCAATTTATTTTTTTTCTTTTTGTTAATCTCCTTGAAAGATTTTTCCACGAAATACAAGCTTTAACTGATGAATGCTCTGTCTACAGGACCTTGCTACTGTGGTTCCAAATCTTGATGCTGTTGGTCTGGACCTACTTGAGGTAAGTTCATTTCTTTGTTAGTATGTAATATTAAAATATGAAAAGTAATTTAGATTCTGAATTAGGGGCTATCAAGAATTCCTTGCAATCCTTCTTTGGAGCATTGTACATTTATCAGTGGTGCACTTTGCATTTACAGAAACCTGTTTGTGCACATCCAAATGCAATTATGAAGATGATGGATTCTTCTGTTGTAGTCAGATATTATACTGAGCATTGATAATACTAGAGCATCATTTAGCTCATGCATTCTCGCATATTTATATTGGATTTGGACCAAAGGTGGGGTTATTACTTATTAGCAATGCCTTGAAATATCTTTCCAAGCAGTTGATCAGTTAGAACAGTGCATTTAGCAGTGGATTACTTAACAATTGCAGAAACCCCTGTGTGCACCAGCTACAAAAATTTGTACCGTGTTCTCATCCAAATATGATCTTTATGAATTCTTCTGGAAAATTTTGAAAGCTACTTTGTTTCTTTGTCCCTCTCTATCTTAATAATCGAATTGTTCTAACGTGCTTAATAATTGCAACTATAGCTAAATCGACTGGAGGATAATTTTCTTCTGCATTGACCTTCACATTGCAATTTTTTCCAAAAAATGAAAATTGATTTTCAAATTGTGGGTTCACTGTTATGTTAAATGCTGTGCTTGGATCCTGTAAAAAGAATCACTGCTAAAAGTGCTCTTGAGCACGAGTACTTCAAGGACATTGAGCTCATCCCCTGATTCAGTTCCATTGATCCCAGTGCACATGTATATATAGGTATGTGGCATCAATTATACAAGATAGTTATTAAATAGTTAGCACCGCATAAAAACATTCCTCTTAAAGTAGCTGTTAATACGAATAATAGACACTGGGTTATAGCCACTCATGTACATTCAATGTACTTTGCGGATAAAGGAATACATAGTGTTGAACATAGTAAAACGAGAATTGAAAATTTTCGTTGCAATTGTTAGTTTGGTTTTTTCTTTGCTCTGCAAGTGGCATTTTCTTCCAATCACAGTTCTCCTTATATCGATGCAATTATACTGAAATGTTAATGGCACGGCAACTGTGGAATTCTCTGTTGCCCAAAATTTAATTTTTAAAACTCCATTTTTGGTGACCATCAGTTTTTTGTTTCCTTTCCTATTTGAAAATTTTGTTGACATCGTGCTAATATAAGTAAAATCGCCTCTATTCTCTTCGATAGATTAATATGATGTGCCAATTATTCATTTAAAATTTTGTACCTAACATCAGAAACCATTATCTATGCCAGATAATTATGTCACTAATTCACATCTTTCGTGTTTACCTTGGTGATAAATCTTGGTTCTCTCATAGAAAATTCAGATTGGGTTGAAAACTTTCATGTGCCATCAGACAGGATCATTTTTTTATATAAACATTTTTTAGGTCCATTTTTTTCATTGAAACTCGATAAAACTTGTATAAGTAATAGAATATCTTTACCAATAACATATTCCTATCTTGCGATATCAGAACCAGAATACACTTCCGCCTTGCTTTAATGTCGGCAATCTTTCTTTACTCTTAAAGGATTTATTTTATTTATCATCATAAGGATTTGGCCTTTTCTTTTATTTCAGCCATTTATGCTTCTGGGGTGAGGGAGATTACACGACCATGTTGCTGGTGAGTGATTGCAGAAACACCAATAGCTAATCTTCGGTGTTCTTTTGGCTGATGTCTTTAGATTACATATGATGTCACGGTGTATCCGGCTTATGTGCTGTGTGTTTCATCATCATTCTCGATATCAACAACTCTGACCACAAAATAACTCACGAGCTTCCTCCTGAGAGTCGTATTCTCTTGTTTGACTTGCTAGAACATCCCCACGCATCTGTAATAGCAAGCAAGCACTTGACGTCAACATTTTCCTTTTTTGGCATTAAAACTACTTGATGGATAATCGACAAAAAAGGATTGTGTGAATATAAAGTGGCATAAATACGTAGGATTTAGTAGACATATACAAGGTCCCTACGTTGCAGTATTCTAGAAATTGTGCTCATTCTTCTGTAATTTCTTTGTGCCTAAGCTGTAAGAAATGAACTTTGCTAGTTTTTTTATCTACATTTCTACAAGAGGAAATTACACCAAACCAGGTCTTAAGTTTNCCCATAGTCGCCCTCCCTCCCTCCTCCCCCGCCGCCTCCTCCCCTCCCTATGATTGGTAGCGCGACGCTACTGAACGGCAGCGTCGCAGCAGCATCTGCTGTCGATTCACACCGCCGTCAGCTTCATTATTGTCACTTTTCACTCCCACCGAACAAATTCGGCCAGATAAGAACGAGGGAGAGGACGGAGGCCAGTTGGTCTACGTACACGAGCCAGGGGAAGCAGCTGTAGAAGACCGAAGAGTAAAAGCACAGATCTGAGCCTGGAACAACGATTTATTGACTCGGTGAGTTCTGGAGGCACTGACTCGTGAGTCCCTGAGTTGAGCCAACGCGCCGGACTGGAATTGGATGAAGTTGAGCTGGATGTGTGTGTGGCTGTAACTAGAATTGGATGAAGCTGAGTTGAATTGTTATAAACATCGACTCGTGTAGTGAATGTTGTCTGAAATTTTGCATATTTTGAATGTGAGGTTGTTGTTTAGCGTTGATGAAGTTTGTGGGTTGTGATTTGCGACGGTTGTAATTGTTTTTTTTTTTAATTATTATTATGGTGTTGGTTGTGGTGGTGTTGTGAGGGGGCAATGATGATGATGGTGGTGGTGTTGTGCAGGCGGCGGGTGGGTGGATGTGACGAAGAGTGTCTGTGACCATGTGTTGGTAGTGTACTGGGATTGGGGGATGAGGTTTAACGGCGATGGTGGTTTTTTTGGTGTATGTGACCTAACTACTGAACTCTGACTTTAAAATTAATAATTTGTAACTAAAAAAAGAATCTGTGACCTTTGAAAATACGCGACCTGTGACATAATTTTTTTGATATGTGACCTATAAAATTTTAGATCCGTGATCTCGAAATAATTTGTAACCTATAAAATTTTTGATCTGTTACGATAAAAAATTGTGACCTATAAAATTTTAGATTTGTGATCTACAAAATTTTTGATTTGTAACCGGAGAACAGTGGTCGCCGATCACCGGAGTAGTCACGGAGTAGTGGGGGTGGAGGTGGAGGTGGGTTAATTATATTATATTAAAGTTAAATATTTAATTTAATATAATAATTGTGAAATATAATTAATTAATTCATAAAAGACCTGATTTTTGCAATTTTAAACCTTGGGGCTTGATTTTTTATTTTGGGATAGATAAAGTTTGAGTTGTGAATTTTTCCCACTACAACACAACCATCACTTGGATCTATAACAAAATTTGTTTGGTTATTGTTGGGGCTGTGATACCATTTAAAATGGTTCGGTCCATTGGGCAATGTTGAAAATGGGCTTGTGACGCTTGTCCCTTTAAGTAATTGAGCCATTGTCAAATAATGCAAAAATGAAAAGGCCCAAACCCGAGCCCAATAGAAGATGACACGTGTGCTGTTCTGTACCATTTGATCGACTACTTGAAATCCTCATCTGGCTTTCGTGAGAACCTTTTGGAATCATTTTGTTCTCTGAGTCTCTTCTCATCCCCTATTCGTTTACTTCGTGTAAGTCTTAAAATCTCTAGTTTTGGGTTAATACTCGGTGTCTATTGAGTCTGTGTAATTCTTCAGTTAGGGGTTTTGAGTGGTGATCAGTGTTTTTTTATCTCAGTCCATTAAAGTAGTTGTGTTGTATATTTTGAGGGTTAGAGTTTTGTGGCTTTTTCCTCTTTTTGTATAGACGGGTACGATGTTTTTTTTAGCCTAAACAACGATTGATCATTTTGATGTTGATGATTCATTATTGAAGTTTTCATTCTTGAGGGTTTATTTCTGTTCTTGGGTCATTTTGTGCTCGAATTGTAACAGTTATGCAATATTTGACACAGTTAAATTTCATTTTGAATAAAATTTTGACGAACAACAAAAACGTTTTGCTTGCAGAGTTTAGAAAACGATTAGATCAAACATTTCTTTGAGAATGAAACGAATAATAATTTGTTTGGTTTCTTTTGCAAGGATTCCAAATATGTTGTGTTGACGTTAAAAAATGAATGAACAAATTTCAAGCCAACTTAGAGAATAAATACAGATTGATTCATGTATAATCCAAGGATTACAAGATGTAATATAATACTCTCCTTCCTTTCTTTAAGAGATATTTGAAATATGAGAAATATGGTAGAACATTTCTCTTTTTCTTGTTTGGTCCGGTATCCCTTTTTATAGAAGAAATATGCATGTGCCATGTATTTCAAGTCTTGTCAACTGTAATCTCGAGTTGAAGAAGTACACTTGTTGGTGTAATTAAATTGGCTGCCTAGCTCAACTTGTCAGGTCATAATGAGTTAAACCTGCAGGTAATCCCAAATAATTAATGAATTACTTAGGGAAAGAAGCTAAAGTTAGTAATTGGTGGATTAAGTGGGCGCTGATATAAGACATTTCAAAGTGTTTTTCACTAATTGGTAGTTTATATATTTTGTCAGTGATTTTCAATCATCATGTTTCCTTTAATCTCAATAACTATACAAACTTCTTCCACAAGCCAAATTGTAACCGAGCTGACCTTACCTTCCCGAACTCTCGTTAGCACACACATATCACGTACAATAACTCGGATTTAGTCGACCTCTGAGGTCGGGTGTTAACATGTTGTTCTCTTTATCTTTACTTGCTATTAAATGGGAAGGCAAAAATAATTAGTTTCGTGTCACAGGAAGGGTCATTAGCAAATTCAATTACAAATTTAAAATCTTCGAAGTATAACATACATACGTAAAAGAGAGCACGCAAGCATTCTGTGTCACGCCTAAACAAGTAACACCTCTACATAAACTTGATTAGAAGTTTCAGAGAACATAACTGTTTAATCATATTAATCACAATAAGTGATTGTTGTAATTCGGTCAAGAATTCATGGTGGATGATTTTTCTACTTACCAACCATTGACGAGTTGCACTTGTTATAATAAAAGAGATTCCATCTTTAGTCGAGATAAAGACTCTGTACAATTTGTATTGACAAAATTAACAAGGAAATTAAAAATTGGTCCAAGAGTAATCTTTATATTCTCATCCATTCGTGTTTATAGTTAGATCAAAGATTGGCATTGAATAAGAAATAGAATTCATCGATATCAAGTGATACGAAAGTGAAAGCAACAAGTCAATCTCGATGAAAAACTATATCAATAAACAAATTAAAAAGAATTATGCTCTTTGTACACTCCTTGTGTACATGAAGTTTGACATTCATTTGCAAATTCAAAAATGAAGTGACGCAAAAGTGTGTTGTATTTTCAAACTGGCCAATCGGACTGCAACACGTGACACAATGTCAGACTTAATGTTAAACACAATGTACTTGTAGCAAGATTGATTTAAAAACACTAAAAGTGAGAAATATCAACGACCTCACTTTGTACCAAGAGAGAGAGGAAAAAAAAAATGTGACCCCACATGCACGGGTCAAAAAGCGTGATCCAACTCTCGGTATAAAAGCTATCTCATTTGCTTTCAGCATTTGAGTCGGTAAAAAAAGAGGGCGTCACTAACTTTATCCTTCACCGATCATTCTCCGGTAAGGTATACCGCTATCGTTTCTCAATTTTCGATGCTTCATTTGCATAACGGTGCCCATATATATGTAATTCATTATTCTGTGCTCAAACAGTTTTTTGTAACTATTTGATTTGATATTAATTAAATAAATTCATTCGTTGTTTTCTGCTTGTTTAAGTGAGAATTAATGAACGCGAAGATGCTTGAGCTTTAATCTCCGATAGTTTCGACTGTATTATTTGATGAGATATTAGTTACGTAAATTCGTTAGTTGTTTTCTCTGTGTTTTAAGCGTGAGATAATAATAAATGCGAAGTTGCACGATTTTTAATCTCCAATAGTTTCTATTTCCGACTGTAATTATCTGGTTTTTATCGTTAATTATACTGTTTTCTTGTTGGTTTTGCTTTGTAAAGGTAATTGTACTCCAACGAATAGTTGATTTGATGTTCATACTGATGTGTATATATAGATACTTAATCTTCGATCGAACATTTTTTATATTATTCTATTTGATGTTAGGTATGTAAATTTGCTAGCCGTTTTCTCTATGTTTAATTGTGAGCTAATTAATATATGCGAAGTTGCCCGAGATTTAAACTCCAGTAGTTTGACTGTTTCTGCTTTGACCTGAATTGTTTATGTTATAATAATACAGTGTTTTTTTTTTTCCCCTCTTTTAATTTTGATGGTTGAATTTTTTTTGTTGATTCTCTGCTTTTCATAGTTAATAATACCGTTTTCTTGTCATTTTTCCTCCGTAAAGTGAATAGTACTTAAATCAATCAATTTTGTGATAAAATTTAATCGGAATATGTGATTTGAAGTGTAGGAGAACTCCTTGCCCGTGGTCAAATTTTGGCATCTTCCTTAGAGAATAGAACCTATGCATGATATTATTCTACAAAAGATACAAATGCAGTTCTCTTTTTCTTCCCTTCTTGAATGACTTTGATGTTTCCTAAATTCTTAATAATACAAAGGAAAACATGTCAACAAATTCTTGTGTTTAAGTGAATATTTGACAAAGAAGGGTGAATTATGCAAATATATGTTTGTTGTTTGTTGACTCTGTTTATTTTTCTCACGAAAGACACATCAACAATAATTTTCTGTTATGTACTGACCATATCATTTTTCTGCTGCTGACTGGTGTGGATTAGATGGACAAGGTAAATAGTTATGGCCTTTAGTCTTGGTTTTGTCCATTTATTTGTGCTTGAAAGGGATTGAATACTACAATTGAAACCTGTGTCATAGAAAAACTTGAGAAGATCGGCCAGGGATCTTATGGGAAAGTGTACAAGGGTCGTGATAAAGAGACCAATGAAATTGTTGCTCTGAAGAAAATCCTGCTAGAGAGACCAGACCAGGGTTTTCCTGGCACATCAATCAGAGAGATTTCTATCTTGAAAGAGATGCAGCATGCAAACATCGTAAGGTGCATCAGTAGTCTCAACTAGTATGGTTCTTACATATTTTTACAGAGACAGAGACGAGATATCAACAGGCGAATGCAAAGAACAGGCTGTACAAAATGGATGGTTATGCCATTTCAATTGACATTGCTGCCTTTTAATGCAGTTAAAATAGATTTGGGACGTTTATGATATTGTTAGATAGAGATAGCCTTGTAAATGTTCTTAATTCATAAATAAATTACCTCGAAATTTTATGATGTGTAGCAGTAAACTTTCTCCTTTATTTGGTGATAGGTTGCAGGACGTTGTGTATACTGAGGAGAAGAGTTTGTGTCTTGTATTTGAATACATGGACTTGGATCTGATGAAATACATTGAGTCTTGCCCAGAATTCTCAACAGATCCTCGTTTGGTTAAAGTGAGTGTGTGTCCTATTTCTTTGCACGGGAGGTCAGTGAAAATGATATTTCAAAATTAAGTTCATTGTTTGAAGAGATTTGTCAGTTGATGAATTTTTAATTCTTCGATTGTTTCAGTTAGAAGTAAACAACTTCTTTTATTTGAGTACTCTCTTCACTTTCTTCTTTTAACTGTCATATTTGTTGATGTAATTGATATGTGTTATGGGATCTTGCATGTGTGAATAAGGATCTAGAGAAAAGTAAATCCAGTTGGTAATGCTGATTTACCTCCTGTAGTTTCAATGAAAAGAAATCCCTCACTCATGATTATGTCATGTTTAAATTTTGCAGATGTTTCTGCATCAAATACTACTTGGCGTTGTTTATTGTCATTCTCACAGAATCCTTCATCGAGATTTGAAGCCTCAAAACCTGCTGATTAATCGTAGTACTAAAACAGTAAAACTTGCAGACTTCGGATTGGCCAGAGCATTCAACATTCCTGTCTGGACAGTTACGCCCAAGGTAAATGTTGTAAAACTTCATATTCTGTAATTCATGGGTTAAATTTAACTCATCTTCATCTCTATTTTCATTTTCTGTGCATCGGTTCTGATTTCATTCTGCAAGAAAATCAATGAGAAACACTTTTTGAGTATCAGCATTGTTTATTCTCCGGGTATTACCTTAATCTGTTGTCAAGGTTGGACTGCTCTAAATGGATGCTTCTAATCATAGATCCGAAGCAAACAGATACCAAAGTACCTGTACTTTGTATGATTATTGCCTTGATCCCTGAAATAAAGCTCTCCAAGGAACTTGTCACTTGATATCTACATTGTTCTTTTCCAACAATTGATTTTCTTTTGCAGACGATGACTCCATGGTACAGGGCCCCAGAATTACTACTTGGATCACAGCAGTATTCTACTCCTGTTGATGTTTGGTCAGTTGGTTGTATATTTGCCGAGATGGTGAACCGGAAGCCCTTGTTTCCTGGAATGTCAGAGATTGATATAATCTTCATGGTTTTCAGGTGCCTCAATTTTCCCAAGCAATGATCCACATATATCTTCTTTTCAGATCATTTCTAGCTACTTCATAAGCTTGTTAGAAAAACCACTTTATCGACTCAGAATCATGGTGTTGTTTTTAGTACGAAATGTATATAGAAGTGCTTTCAAAATTGTTCTCTTTTCTGCATAAGATGACCCTACTTTGCCTATTTTGTTGTATGATAAGTTAACATGCACTCATTGACAATATTTAGGTTAGCTAATTAGTTTTGCTTTGCATGACCCCTTGCCCCAAGGATTCACCACTCCTTAAAATGAAATAGTTAGTTGTTCAAAATCAGTTAAAACAGTCTCAGAAGCTTTCAGCAAAATTTATTTGTTTAATCTTTGATTCATATTATTTCTTATTCGTTTATTATTTCTTCCTTCTATGCTGAAGAGTTTTGGGAACCCCTGATGAAGATACATGGCCGGGAGTTACATCTCTGTCTGATTTTAATACTACCTTTCCAAAATGGCCTCCTAAGGTTGTTGGCCTCGGCATCAAGTTCATTTTTTTATTTGTCCCCTCGAATGATTTTTCCAGGAGATACTAGTTTTAACTGGTGAATGCTCTATCTGCAGGACCTGGCAACTGTGGTACCAAATCTCGATTCGGCTGGTCTAGACCTCCTTGGTGTAAGTTCATTTCTATATGAGGATGTAATATAAAAACTTGAAAAGTAGTTTAGATTGTAAATTCAGAGCTATCAAGAATTCCTTGAAATCCTTCTTTCATGTACGCTTATCAGCCGTGCACTTTGCATTTACAGAATCCTGTATATGCACCAACTATAAATTCATACCGCATTCTCATCCAAATGCAATTATGATCGCAATGAATTCTTCTGTTGTAGTCAGATATTATGCGGAGTTTAGATAATACAATAACATCATTCAGCTCGTGCATTCTCACATATTTATATTGGATATTCACCAAATATGGGTCTGTTAACGATGCCTTGAAAGGTCTTTCCAAGCTGTTGACTCTTTGAAACATTGTACATTTATCAGTGGTCTACTTAACAATTTCAGAAACCCTTATGTGCGCCAGCAATAAAAATTAGTACTGCATTCTCATTGAAATTAATGATTATAACTTCTTGAAAGTCTTGAAGGGTACTTGGTTTCTTTAACCCTTTGGATCAGGAAAATCAAATTGTTTTGACACTCTTAATACTCGCAACTATCATTAAATCGACTGTAGGATAATTTACTGCAGCATTGACCTTCAAATTGGTATTATTCCACAAAAGAAAAGGATACGAACATTGACGTTCATATTGTGGGTTCAATGTTTTATGTTACTATTACAGAAAATGCTGCGCTTGGATCCCAGAAAAAGAATCACTGCTAAAAGTGCTCTTGAGCATGAGTACTTCAAGGATATTGAACACATCCCCTGATTCAGTTCCCAGAGCAAACGTATATAGGTATGTGGAATTTTCTTCCTTTTTCGATTCCCTTTAGACACAATTCAATTTGTATAGAATTGTTTCTGAGCACAGCAACTAAGGAATTCTATGTTGCCTGCAATTTAAATTTCAAACCCCATTCTCGTGTGACTGCCATTTTTTTTTTTTTTTCCTATTTGATAATTTTGTTAACATCGTGCTAATGTACATAATTCCAGCTTCTATTCTCTTAGATAGATTAATATGGTGTGTCATTTATTATTTTAAATTTTGTACCTTACTCCAGAAACCATTATTTATGCCAGATAATCAAAGGTTACTATTTCACACCTTTCATGTTTAACTTGGTTCCTTCCCTGAATTTTTTCTGTTTCCTAGAACATTCAGTTTGGTCTGAAAAACTTTCAGGTGCTGTCAGATATAATCGCTGTTCAGGAAACGTTTTTAAGGTTTCTTTTTCATTGAATATCTGATAAAGGTGTATGAGTAACAGAATAACTTTTACCACAACATATTCCTATCTTGCGATGCCTGAACCAGAATACAGTTCTATCTAGCAATAATGACAGCGACCTATCTTTACTCAAACGATTTTTTGTTATTTATCATAATAAGGATTCGGCTTTTCTTTTATTTCTGAGACGAGGGAGAATAACATGACAATGATGCTGGTGAATCATATCGGTAACACCTATAACCAGTCTTCCATTTTCCTTTCGCAGATGTCCTTTGATTCCAAAGATGTTACGTTGTATATGACTTATACACTGCTTTTCATCATCTTGCTCGGTGCTCGTATAAGGGAGAAAATTAGCGAGCTTGTCTTTTCAGCTGAAAGTGTAGCATAAAATAAATGAATAGTTGTCTCACACGTGCACGTCTATAAAGAAGAGAGAAAAAGAGAGACCAACCTGAAAATAACTCTCGAGTTTCCTCTTGAGAGTTGCATGCTCTTGTTTGACTTGCTGGAATGTCCTTTTGCATCTGTAATAGCGTGCAAGAACTTACTTGAATGTCGATCGCAAAAACAGTTTTATAAAGAGAAAATGGCATAAACACATAGTGAGGATATAGGAGACAAATATATACCCTTCCAAGTTCCCTGCCTTGCAGTACTCTTGAAATTGTGTGCATTCTTTCTTTACTTTCTCTGCGCCAATGCTGCAAGATGTAAACTGTTAGTTTTGATGTATCATCAGCAATAAGTAATGCACATAGATATACAGGAAGATTGGTGGGGTGGGATGGCTAGGCGAGGCTGGATTACATGATAAATAGGCGATGTCATTTAAAAGAGGCAGATTCACTTGTTACAGTAAGCTTAATCTCTTCAGAACCGAACCGAACCCAACCGACCCACGGACAGCCCTAATGCCAGATAATTAAAGGTTACTATTCCACATCTTTCATGTTTAACTTGGTTCCTTCCCTGAATTTTTTCTGTTTCCTAGAACATTCAGTTTGGGCTGAAAACTTTCAGGTGCTATCAGATATAATTGTTGTTCAGGAAACGTTTTTTAGGTTTCTTTTTCATTGAATATCTGATAAAGGTGTATGAGTAACAGAATAACTTTTACCAGAACATATTCCTATCTTGCGATGCCAGAATCAGGATACAGTTCTATCTAGAAATAATGACAGCAATCTATCTTTACTCAAACGAATTTTTGTTATTTATCATAATAAGGATTTGGCTTTTCTTTTATTTCTGAGACGAGGGAGAATAACATGACAATGGTGCTGGTGAATCATTTCAGTAACACCTATAACCAGTCTTCCATGTTCCTTTCGCAGATGTCCTTTGATTCCATAAGATGTTACATTGTATACAACTTATACACTGCTTTTCATCATCTTGCACGGTGCTCGTATAAGGGAGAATATTAGCGAGCTTGTCTTTTCAGCTGAAAGTATAGCATAAAATAAATGAGTAGTTGTCTCACACGTGCACATCTATAAAGAAGAGAGAAAGAGAGACCAACCTGAAAATAACTCTCGAGTTTCCTCTTGAGAGTTGCATGTTCTTGTTTGACTTGCTGGAATGTCCTTTTGCATCTGTAATAGCGTGCAAGAACTTACTTGAATGTCGATTGCAAAAACAGTTTTATAAACAGAAAATGGCATAAACACAGTGAGGATATAGGAGACAAATATGTACCCTTCCAAGTTCCCTGCCTTGCAGTACTCTTGAAATTGTGTGCATTCTTTCTTTACTTTCTCTGCGCCAATGCTGCAAGATGTAAACTGTTAGTTTTGATGTATCACCAGCAATAAGTAATGCACATAGATATACAGGAAGATTGGTGGGGTGGGATGGCTAGGCGAGGCTGGATTACATGATAAATAGGCGATACCATTTAAAAGAGGTAGATTCACTTGTTACAGTAAGCTTATTTATACAAAATTTCAAACATATTTTAGAACAAAAAGCCTAGCCAAATATGCTCTGTGGCAATGTAACAACCTCAAACTCGAGAAAGAAAGTAATGGGCTTTTACCTTGAGCTGCTACCTTTGAACTGATGCATAATATCTTCCAGTTTTTCGAAGTCAAAATGGGTGCTATTATCCCTGAACATGAAAATAAGAAATTCTTGTTTATAAAATCTATTTAGCCTCTTGTTGCTCTTTCTTGATTAAATTTTGTTAAGCTACTCACAGTGCCAGTTCTATGTTGCGGATAAATCGAGCCGAATCAGTGTAGAACAGTTTGACAACCTCTTCCACAAAATTAGGATTAGCATCATCTTGCAAGTCTTCCAATTGAATAAATTGTTCATCAAGATATCCCTACAACATAATCATCTCTCAAATTTAGAACAAAAATGTGTTTAGCGTAAGATACGGTACTCACTTCAGTGGATAGCATCAAAAGTTGTGTTTTGGTATGCAATATTTAACAAAACTAGATTGCATGATGTAGGGGGGACTGGGCAGGCTGTAGCCTGGTTTAGACCCCAGCCCACTGAATTTTTAAAAGAAAAAAACATTTCATGTGTAATATATATATATTTTTTTTTTTAACGTATTAGCCCGACTTGTGATTCAGTCATCAATCCGTTTCTGATTACATTGTGAACATAACTTTTTTCATCTTCTTTAGTACTATCTAGAATGTCCCTTAACCAAAAAAAAAAAAGAATATATATTCGATCAAAGTTGACAACCACATTTCTATTAGAATGCTGTTTGGTTTCTTTTGCTAAGATTCCAAATATGTTCCTATCGCCACGAAATTTGCGAAAACATTTTTGGTTTGCTTTTACTTTATATAATGCATGTCATCCAAAGTTTAACCATGGTTCAAGGAAAAAATTCAATTGTATAAGAAATATAAAATAATTGGAATGCAATCAATTTAATTAGCAAGGGAGAGAAATAACCTGATCAAAGAGGGTTTCCCTCACGTAGGCAGCTCGACGTTGCAATTGATTTCTCTCCATTTTATTCAGTCAGTCAAGAGTATAAAGAAGCAAAAAATGGCCGTTTTTGTGCAATATTTCTGCCAATGATAAGCCTACGATTGCATGGTATATATAGGAGGGAATATAGTGCATGGGGGCACGTGAAAAGATTCACGAAGGTCCACATTTCCATTTCTATCATGTTATTTTGTATTAGTACAACATTACGTGTACAAACTCAAAATTTTGCTAGAATGAAACGGGATATGTATTGAGTTGCTATCTGTGTTTGATACATTGAATTGAAAAACGGACGAAAGTTTTTGTAACGTTTTTATTGTTAATCTTGTCCAGATGCCTCTAATTCACAATATTGAGGTCACGTTTGACACTAATTTTTTTAATTCATTTTTAATCAAATATTTTATATCATCCATGATTTTTATCAACTTTTTATTCATGTATTTCATCAACTTTTATCAAAATTTACTAAAAATATAATTTTTAATCAAACTAATCAATCCCTAAACAAATTGTCTTTGTCAAACTATTTTGCTTTATAAATTAATATACCACGATTTAAATATTGAGTACTAGATTTTTTGATAATAAATTTTGTAAAATGTGATTTTTTGAATAATATTATTTAAAAATTGAGAAAAATTATGAATGCACGTGCAAAATCATTTTAGTTATATGTAATTAAAAATGAGTTCAAGAAAAAATGAATTTTCAAAAATCTATACCAAACCATGACAAAGTTATCATATTTACTCAACTTAGAGATCCTATTGGTTATTTTACTTCGTCTTCAATTTCTTCATTTAAGTCTTACAAGTGTTTTTTTTTTTTTTTTATCGTTTTCCTCTTAGTTCAAAACAATCGTCAATGCATAAAAACGATAAAAGAGTACTTCCTTATATTACTATCACATTGTAATGGCGTCAGTCAAGTTTCTTGTACAATACACACCATATGACTGCTTCCATGGTGAATAATCTCCCTTTCTAGCCCTAATATTTCGTTCAATTTCAAGACCTAAATTAAAAAAGAATCCCAATTAAACCAACGAATGGCACGAGTTCGCCATCTGTAATTTTCTTTCTTAAATATAGGTTAATTCAATTAATATGGCAAAAGAGGTTAAAATTGTCTGAACTTTCATCGTTTTATTTGAACTTAAGTTTATAAAAGACAAGAAATCATGCGATTTGAGAATAATTGTCCATAGCATCTCAAATTCAAAGCGTCACAAGATGCTTTGGGCATTCACATTGAGAAAGAATAACTATACCCATGATAACAAATATTAAAAATTATCGAATGGTGTCTACTTGTTCAAACAATAGCGGTTCTTATCTCTAGAATATTCCTCTGACTTGGCACTTCTTAATCATTTGGATTCCATTTTAAGATGATATACAATTTGCCAGCAAAGGGACTACTTTTTGTGACTTTCAGACGAACCAACAACGTTAACAAGTCCAATCCCACTTTTCCGGCTGTGAAAAAAATGCCCCAAAGTCCAAGATTTACCGTCGTATTTATGCAAAAAACATTGTCATGCTTCGATTTATAGAAGTTACAA